ATAAACAATGAATCACCCTTTGCCACCTTTGCTTAGAACCAATTAGTGTGCTGGTAAACCACACACGCTCCACTAACTTCTTAGCAAGGGTGCAAAGTGTAATTTCATGGGATTGCATCAATTCACTTTTCCTAAAGTAACTAGGATTGGAATTTTGAAAAACATGTAGTTACTTTGTATTTCATATTATACTTTTAATGAGGAGATGAGGTTGCCCTATCCTACCTGTTCGGCTAACGACCCTCCACCGATCAAGCAAGCGGTGGGTGTGAGTGTACACCCATTAAGCGAGGCAGCAACCTAATACCCACCTTATACACCGACTTCGTGAATGAGGCCTACTAATGGTAAGACTAGCATTTTATTATATATATATATATATATATATATATATATATATATATATATATTAATGTTGTAATATTATATTAGTATAGGGTTGAATTTTAAACTTGTAAAATTCTAGGGTTTGAAATTTAAATTGTCCAAATTAAACCTTTAATCACAAAACATAAATTTCAAAACTTGAGGGCAGGTTTTAAACTTTTCAAAACATAGAGGATCAAATAACAAATAATCTAGATTAACATTTAATAACATAATTATCCGTATTTGATTTATTTAATTATTTCTTGCAAAACAATTTACCAATTTAATTAAAATAATTAATCAATTATCAGATAAGGAAACTAATATTTAATTAATTGATAAATATCTTCAATTAGGTCAAGGATATACTCAAATATATCATAAAATCGGATTTATATTGATCTAATATGAAAAAGGCAAGTATCTTAAAGATAAACAGCAAGAAATCCCGAAGTTATCACTTCTTGACGCTTGGACTCGCCGAGTACCCCAATGGACTCGCCGAGTCCACTATGGGACTCGCCGAGTTCATTAGGCAGAAACACAAAATTCGAATTTTGCAAGCATCAAACAAGCAACCATCAATTCAATAGAAACCAATCTAGGCTCTGATACCACTGATGGGTTTTGGCCATATGAACATTCCTATGTGCACATACAAACCCTAATGCTTGGATCTAGGTTTCTCTAATTGAACATGCATGAATCCAAGACTTATAATGGTTATTCTATCATAATAACAAAGAGAAATCAGAGTTATAAGTTTACCTTGAATCACTTGTTTGATCTTCTTGTTCTTGGAGCTTTAGAGTCACAATTGTCACTCCTCTAATGGCTTACAAACACCAACTAGCAAGAGGATGATTTGAGAGAGTGGGGAGGGATGTAGAAATCGGCCATGGTTTATCTAGAAACAAGAGTACCGATTTCCATGACCCCAAGGGTCTATTTATACTTGTAAGGCTCCTAGGGTTTTACCTTTAAACCCTAATTGGATAACTTAAGCCCTAAGCAATCCTAATCCCTTTCATGATAACCTTGGACAAATTTTAGGTTTATACTAAGCCCTAAAAAACCTAAAATCTTCCACCACATTATCCATAATGGATTATTGCCTAAAGTATAACTATCACACATTTGACAGTTTAAGCCTTTCTATTTAATTAATTTCTTTAAGTCACCAAATTAATTCCTAATTAATTTATGACTTATATTAATCAAATAATATTATTATTATTCCTTATAATAATTCAACTCTCATTGTAAATCATCCTATCAAGTTGCTATGGTGAAGGCAACCCAAAAGGACCATGCTCAATCGGGTCAATTATTTACCAAATATAGTTGCAACCTTAGACACTATTCCAACAAACACGTCATAAGACCACATTATATCCAAAAACATCATTACACAATTGCTCATTCACCGGAATCTATGAATTCCTTGACATACATACGAGTCCTGTGCTTCCAGTAGTGCATTCCCATACTACTTTCCACACCTACCCGTATTGGTCTCGAAGGATCACCACAAAATTCGTGGACCATTAGGCCCAAAACAACTAGGGTAGACATACACCTACATTCACTATCTTAAGAGTAACTACCAATTCCATACTTTTGTTAGCACTTTAACAATCATATACCTAACTCATGAAACCTTCACTAACACTTCAGTCGCCTTGCGTATGCTAATCATAAATAACAACAAATTTGATAGATAATCAAATATTTAATCCTACCTTAAGCCCACAACCAATCAAGGAACATAAAATAAGGCTAAATAAAACATTCCCATGCTATAAAATCCTAGTTATGTATAATCATGATACATACACTTATCAGCTACAACAATAATGTCGGTTTCATATAACATAAACAAGAAATCCCCTAGGCTATCAGGCATCATAAATCAGGCAGTTCTATCATGAAATTCTTGAAGATCCTTAGCTTATGAACTAGCATGAAGTTCTAACAATTGAACATATCATCACCAATATATATATAACAAGTGTGGGTATCTTGGGAAATAACTTTCTCCTGAGCTTCGGATGATTGTACACAACACACCCTCCATTTTTAAATTTTCTTTTAGGAAAGTGTTTTAAAAACTCTTTTGCAGATCCATAGTTTGAGTCGGGAATCACACTAATGTTCATCCAAATTCCTCAAACCAGGGCTCTGATACCAACTTTTAATAACCCAAAAACCATAGTAAAAATTTTCATTTAAAAAAAATATCTTCATAGAAATCATAAGTCACCAAAACATTGTTTTACAACCATATCAAAATCAGATTAATAAGATCAAAGTATCTATCAAAACATGAACTACTGGATGATGTGTATAATCATGCTTTCACCTTCCCTCGATCATCTGAAGTACCTGAAACATTTAAATCCATAACTGTAAGCCAAAGCTTAGCGTGTTCCCCAAAATACCCGACACTACAATATACATACAATGCACACATGATCCTATAGTCTATCTAGACCGCCTCGCAAGGCCTATGATACACCTAGACCTCCCGAGTATCTTGGCCTACAACACAAAGTAAGACCACCTCAACCTAACCACAATATGCCGACATATGCAAATAGATAAATAATAACTAGCAAAGCACAAGTAATCATAACATATCTACTAATCTAACAAATTACTACATCCTACACACAATGATACACACTACAGTACAAAGTATCATGAGAAACTAACCTTGCAGTCTAACAGATAAAAAACACAGCTCACACAAATCCAAGAACTGCTACTACGACTCACTTATACAAAAAACATGGACCAATCCTCAATCTACAACCCAAAACCCTCAAGTTGGCCAAAACAACTTGGTCAAAAAGTCAACGATCCACAATCAAAGTCCACAGTCAAAAGTCTATCAGTCGATCACCACGTCATGGCCAATCATTTTAGTGAGTATGTTAAGGGGTTTGGGGGAAGTAACAACCAAAAGAAATGACATTAGGAAGCCGTGTAATAAATCTCTCTATTCTAATAAAAACATATATTCTTTTGTTATGTGTCACTCTATTAGGCTTCTTAATTAATATCACGACACTTGTCAACCTATTGATTCTCTATTTTAAATTTTAAAATTTAAATTTTCCACTCTAATTACATTAAATTTATAAAATTAGTATAAAAATTAATACAGATTATAAGGTCACATATTTATTTAAATCAACGATTATAATTTTATATAACTAAAAATTAGAGCTGACAATGGGTCGATCTGGGTTGTGTTCGGGTTCATCCCATTTTTTAATTGGGTTGAAGATTTCAACCCAACCCAACCTTTTTATTTAAATGAGTATATATTTCCAACTCAACCCAACCTTTTAGATATATGGGTTGTCATTGGGTTGACATGTTTATGTAATTCTTAACCTAATCTATTAAATAAATGGGTTAAACATGGATTAACCTATTTCGAATAAAAAGGTAAATAAATTAACTAAAGATTACACAACTTAAATTAGTTCAAAACTTAAATAAACTTTCACAGTATAATAAAAGTACAATCCCAACTCACAAATACAAAAAAATGTTCAAATAACATTAAAGATAAGTAATTTCGAAATGATTTTGAAGAGTGACTAGTGTTGTCGGTGCAAAGAAAAAGATAGGAATTAGGATTGCATTTTGTAAAACATAACTAATAATACAACATTGTGATTTATAAATTAATACATAGATTAATACATTTTAATATTTAAATAATTATTAAATTAAATTTATATTAAAGTTAAATTGGTTGGTGGGTTGAAAATGGGTTGACAATATTTACCCAACCCAACCTATTTAATTAAATGAGTTAGACAGGTTGACCCATTTATCATAAATGGGTTGAAAATCTCAACCCAAGCTGCTAATTTTGGGTTGGGTTGATGAGTTGGGTTGATTTTTGTCAGCTCTAATCTTAATTAATAATTTAATTAAAATAATTTATCTAAAATAATTGATTAATAATTTTAAGTTTTTACTAAGAAAGTTTAATTAATTTTGTAACTGTGGTTCCTATGAGGTATAAATTAGTTGAAGAATACAGACCTTGATGATGAAGTAGAGTCCGATGACGGCATGATTTTGTCAAATATACCAATAGATTATGAAAGGGAAGATTTGATCTTTTTACACAACTTTGTGAAGACCAATGTGAGTTTTTGGATGAAAGATATGAACATATTGACGATGATGATGAGAACATAGCCTATCTTGAAGATGAATATGATGATAACGAAATTGGTGGTGAAGTAAATGTCCACAAAAAAAAAAATTGCATGTGGGATCAAGGTCATCTACATTTCCCTCGTCATCAAAGGGTTTGGTTCTTCCCTAAAAACTTTGTTTTTTCATAGTGACATAACTTACCCAATATCTCCCTTGTTCATTCCAACCTTAAAAAAAGCCCTTGACCAACAATTGGGGTCCCTTTTAATGAGATAATCATATGCCCCTACATCAAAGCTCTTGATTTCTTCCATTGCAAGTTCAAATTTTGGAATTGTAGTTGCCTTTACAGCCCTCCAAAAAGGTTTAATGTAGCACTCACCCTTAAACTTTTTATGGAAGTTAGCAAGGATGTGCCTAGCACACAACCTATGCTCAACTTATGGTTATCTTTCTTTCACAGCCTCCATTATACCCTGCATTGATTTGGAGTGTTAGTTTATGTAAAAGGTAATTTTTGTAAAAGAAAAGTAGTGTATATATATGTACCTTGTGTGCATCTGACATCAATGTGATTCCATTACCATTTCCCCCTTCATCTATGTCTCCCATTAGATTGTCCAAGAACCACTTCCAAGTATTCTTGTTCTCAACATTTACTACTGCCCAGGCTATTGGGTAAATGTTATTGTTTCCATCCCTGCCTACTGCTGAGAGGAGCTCCCATTTACAGATACCTTTCAGAAAACATCTATCTATCCCAATTACCTTCCTACACCCATCTAACCATCCATCAACCACTCCTTTAAAACTCACATAAAACCTTTCAAACACCACAGTAGAATTATTTTAGGGTTGTACATACACTTCTACATGAGATCCTAGGTTGGCCCTTTAAATTTCAACTCCGTAATCCCACAGCTTGGAATAATGATCCTTCAAATCACCCTCAATTTCACACAATGCAAATCTTTTTGCATTCCTACATTGTCCAACACTAACATTTATGTTGAATAACTTGGATACCATAGCTTTCATCTTCCTCAGACTAATTTTAGGGGACTCCAGAATATCAGTGACAAATTGTTTCCCTATCCACTTATAGGTCACAATTGACCCAAGTTTGAATGTCCTTGAACAACTATGGTCTTCTCTAAGGGAATTTATTTGAAATGTTTGTTCATCTTTCATCCAGGAAGCCCACAGTCTAAAAGGGCATTGTGGTATTTTTCCTTTACAACACTTTACAAGCAACCTATCCTTGTCATTCTTCTCATAATACAAGTCATATCCATGTGCAACTGCATAGTTACTAAGAGATGACTTAAGTTCAGCAGGAGAAGAGAATCTCATACCTAGTTCAGGCTTCATCTTCCTCCATTCCTGAGTAGCATCATGCCTAGGGTACACAGCTGGAAGTTCATTGCCTTTTTCATATTCATCTTCAACAAGTACTGGACATAACTTGTTCAAAAACTTATCATTATAGGCTCTTTTGAAGATTCTTTTGCTTGATGTAACACATTCATCCTCTTCATGTTCACAGTTCTCATCATCTGCCAAAACAGAGTCGACATCTTCTTCTGAATACACAAGTTCTTCATTGTCTGGTTCTTCTTTCTGAATCCACTCAAATAGAGGTTCATTATCATGGTCAATATACACATCCACATGTCTGTTAGCATTTGCAACCTCAAGAAACTCAGAGTAGTCACATTCATTTTGTAGTGTTTGGAGCCCCTCACTTAATCTCACTCCAGGTATACAGTAATACACATGCTTGCACTGAAAATCGATAAGCTTCTCAACATATTTGATGAAATCAGAGAAACCAAACTCGTTTGCATCTTCATTCAGACGTAGTACTTGTGGAGCAAAATACACCAACAGATTAGGCACAAAAGTACCATTATAGTGTACATCGACTTTTGGAAAAACTTGATTTTCCTCCATTGAATCAGAATGGTGTTTTGAGAGAAGAGAAGTGCGAGTAATGTGGAACCGATCAAGAACGAATTATGAGAATAAAGACAATATAACCCTAATTAATCTTCGTTCGTAAATGAGGTTTCTTGATAAATGAGGGTGGAAGAGGGTATCTGCCACGTAATTGCCACGTAAACCAGTAAAACACAAAATGACCGGCTTAACTGGAAGCACCTGGTAATAATGACTTAATTTATACACAACAACAAGTTCAAGGGTAAAATGTGGACAAAAAAAAGTCAGAGACTAAATGTGTACAAAACCAATAATATGTTACCCTTTTAAGTCATTATCCCTCGATTTTATCAAAATTTAGAAATATACATTAGTACGTGTTTACTGTGGCTTCATCCTGATAACCAAATTACCCTTACAACTTCAAGAAAATAACTTTATTAACACAAAAATTAAAAGATACACATTCAAAATGCACAAAAAAAATATTTAACAATGTTTAAAACCAAACTTAATAATTTATGAGAAAATTCGGCAAATGACCATAATGTAGGGTGAGTTTGAAGAAAATGACCACAAAAATGAACATTTCAGAAAATGAACACATGTTCCGCAGAGGGGGTTCTGAGGAACCATAAACACCTCTGCGGAATGTGAACACCTTTGCGGATCTTGGTTTTTTTCATTTTTTTTTTTTTTTTGTCTTCGTTTATTAACATTTTTTTTAATCACATAAGGTATTATGTGATTATTATGTAAAAAAATTGTTTTCGTTTTTTATTTTTCTTATTTAAATACCCGTTTATAAAAGTTATGTGTTTAATAAAAATTATACAAATATACTATGTTTTTTATAAAATTACACACACCGGTATTCTAAATAATAAACATACTTTAAGTAGGTTACAAAACATACTTTAAAAAACATAAACATACAACCTTCATAATAAACATACTTTGAAATAAACTTCATTGAAGGCTTTGTGGATCCTCTACAGCTCTGCGAAATCTTTGTTTTTTGATTTTTTAATTTTTTTTCGTTTTTTTTCCGTTTATTTTCGTTTATTAATATACTTTTTTTTTTAAATATACTAATACACTATGTGATTATTATGTAAAAAATTATACAAAAAATATTAAAAATAATGAAATGTTTTATGTAATACGTTTGCTTCTGAGGAACCAAAACACCTCTGCGGATATTGAGTTTTTTAATTTTTATTTTTTTCGTTCTTTCTATTTTTTGTTTTCGTTTATTAAGATTATTTTTTTTAATACACTAATACCTTATGTTTATATAAAAAATTGACAAAAAGAGGTTAAAAATAATGAACTTATGTGTAATATCAATCCACAGTACTGTTTGGGAATCCATAGAACTGTTATCAGCGGATCAGTGTACACCTCTGCGGATCTGTGTACACCTCTACGGATTAGTTATAAAAGTTATAGACATATTTTAATGGGTTTTTGTGAGTTTCAATTACCAATAGAAATTGTTTTTTCATTGTGTTTGTGGAGAGTGATTTGTAAATACAAAATAGTAAAAATACATAACATACATCAATAGCAAACATATTATATAAAACATTTCATTATTTTTAACTTTTTTGTCAAGTTTTTTACATAATAATCACATAAGGTATTAGTGTAATTTAAAAAAAATTAATATTAATAAATGAAAATGAACACAAAAAAACGAAAAAAAGAAAAAAATTAAAAAAAATCAAAAAACAAAGATTTCACAGAGCTGTAGACGATCCGCAGAGACTTTAGTGAAATTTATTTCAAAGTATGTTTATTATGAAGGTTGTATGTTTATGTTTTCTAAAGTATCTTTTGTAACCTACTTAAAGTATGATTATTATTTAAAATACCAGTGTGTGTAATTTTATAAAAAACATAAAATATTTATATAATTTTATTAAACACACATTTTTATAAAGGGGTAATTAAATAATACCTTATGTGATTAAAAAAAATATTAATAAACGGAAAAAAAAATAGAAAACGAAAAAAAAAATAAATGAAAAAACCAAGTTCCGTAGAGGTGTTCACATTCCGCAGAAGTGTTTATGGTTCACAGAAGCCCTCTGCAGAACCTGTGATTAGGGCTGTAAACGAACCAAATGAACACGAACAAGGTCTTGTTCATGTTCGTTCGTTTAAGTTAGCCGAACAACAAACGAACACGAATGGATAAACGAACAAGATTTTCTTGTTCATGTTCGTTCGTTTAACAAATTACTTTGTTCATGTTCGTTTATTTATGTTCGTGAACATGTTAAATGAACATAAACGAACAAACATAAACGAACAAAGATAAAAAAAAAACACAATTAAACATATATGAACATAAACAAACATATAATATAGCAATATAATAAAAAATAATTGAGTATAGATGAATATAAATAAACTTAAACGAACGAACATAAATGAATGTAAATGAACATCATAAACGAATGTTCACGAACATAAATGAACGAACGGGACCATTGTTCATGTTCGTCCATTTAACTAGACGAACGATAATTTTTGTTCATGTTGGTTTATTTATTAAATAAACGAACATAAACGAACTTCCCGCCGAACAGTTCACGAACGGTTCGCCGAACGTTCAGTTCGTTTACAGTCCTACCTGTCATCATTTTCTGAAATCTTAACTTTTATGATCATTTTCTTCAAACTCACCTACGTCCTGTAATTTACCGAATTTATTCGTAATTTATTGGCTAATAATAATATTGTCCTTCTATTTTTTAGAATTTTGCATAAACACCACTACCTAACACCTAAAGTGAGAAAGAATAAAAGAAAAGAATCTGCAAAGCTCCGTTAGGCTTCCCAGTTCCCCGAAGCCTTTGCTTGTTTTATTCCCTGCTTTGCATCAAAATTCACCCGACTCCAAACTCACTTCAGTTCCCCCATAGCTGTTCTTCAACCGTCCTTTTCTCTCTAATCTTTCTATTCACTCGAAAGAATCGTTAAACAAACGTGGCGATCCCGCTGGATCAACAATGTAAGTCATTATCCTCTTTAATTTGTTGGGTTTTGTTGCAAATGTTTAGGGTTTATTTCCCACATGTTTTCTTCCGTCGATTTTCAGCTGTGTTGTCTATATACGTTGAACGGGTGATTGTTAACCTAAATGCATGTGATTCTATCGATCATATAATTATAATCCCCCCTTTTTGTTACAGTCAATGGACATCGAAGACCGGATGAACGCGCATTATAGCACAAGTTTTAAACCCTCTGGTACTCTTTTTTTTTTTTTTTTTTTTTTCTCACTATGTATATGTAGACATAAATGTTTATGTATTCAATTTGTTATTTTTTTGGGATGATCACGCAATTGACCTGCTCGATTTTGTCAATTTTGCAAATGATTTCGGGTATATCCCTTCTAAATGTTGTCTAGATGCAAAATTTTCTCACTTTCCTTGGTTTGTGTTTTGTATGTTTGTTTCAGAAATAATCAAGGGACAAATGAGCAATGGTGAAGAAATCATATCTCCAAACCCACTGTACACTAAGCGCACATTTGATGCAAAGAAGCAAAAGAAAACCATTGATTATAATGATCCATTTGATGTTAGAAACTTTGTGGCAAGCTTTGATTCACCTAAATATGGGTCTGTTACAAAAGACATAGAAAATATTCTTTCACTAAGAAAACAGACGTTAATGCCTTGTTTTAGAAGGTATCCTTCACTTGGGGCTGATTTAATGGACACATACCCTGTGAAGGAGGCTCCATTTCCAAATCCTGTGAAGGAGGTTTCAGTTGCAAATCATGTGAGGGATGTGGTTATGTTTGATGATGCCATGGCCATGGGTCATGATACAAATGCACCTGATTCTGTTGTCATCATAGGATCAGATGATGATGAACCCACATCCGCAAGGCCTTTTCAACCTTACAGAGACATAGTCTTGAATAAGCCTGAAGGCCAGTTTTCAATGAAACAATTTCTGGTAAGCTGCCTTGAATCTTTTTGGGATTCCAGTGATGATTTCTGGTTTGAATTAATACATGTTGTATAAATATGGTGTTTTGGTTTTCTCTCCATGTAGGAGGGAGATTATGGTCAAGGTCAAGCTTCAGTTGGGAAAGGAGGAGGAGGAGGAGGAGGAGGAGGAGGAGGAGGAGGAGGGAGAGGGTAGGGTAGGGGGTGGGAGTGGGAGTGGGAATGTGAATGGGGTGGGGGTGGAAAGGGAGAGGGAGACCAAGAGGAAAAGGGAAAGGAGGAAAAGGAGAAAGAGAAGGTGTAGAAGAAGGGAATACAATTACAGACATTGTTGTCGAGTCAAAAGATGAAAAAGAGAAAAATAATGATAACGATGTAGAGGTTGAAAAGAAAAAGCACTTTAAAGGTGTCTATGTTGGTGTTGATTCCGATTCCGATGTGGAAGAGAGTAATTCACAATCCGAAGCCGACTTCGATGGGCTTGCTGATATTTGGCAAGAAATGAACGTTGGATTGGAATCCTCAAAGGTAACATGAAAAATATTCATCTCTTATCTTCCTCAAAGTCACACTTCTAGTATAAGTTTATCAACCATTTACTACTCTTTTATAATCTCTTCCAGGATCCTGACATGGCATTTCCATCTATCCAACATCAAAAAGAAGAAGAAGAAGAACAAGAATGTGATCATTCCTTTATATTAAAAGAAGACATTGGTTATGTTTGTCGTGTATGTGGAGTAGTTGATAGAAGCATTGAATCCATAATCGAGTTTCAACGCCCCAAGGTCCTCATTCAAAACTCAAAACTTTATATCTTTCACTTCAACAACTATGAAACTATAGTCATTGATTTGAAATTTGAATACAGGCATCAAAGAGTACAAGAACTTATTATTACGAAGGGCGATCTGACAAAGGGGTGCCAGGTGGCATTGTTCTTGATGGAGTGAAATTACCAGGAAAAGATTTCTCAATGGGAGATGCAGCAATAACAGCTCACCCGAGTCACAAAAAAGAAATGAAACCTCATCAAGTTGAAGGCTTTAATTTTCTTTTAAGCAATTTAGTTTCTGAAAAGCCAGGTGGATGCATCCTGGCCCACGCACCTGGATCTGGTAAAACATTTTTGCTTATCAGTTTCATTCAAAGTTACATGGCAAAAGATCCAGATGCAAGACCATTAGTGGTTCTTCCTAGAGGAATTCTAGCAACATGGAAGAAAGAAATTCATAAATGGCAAGTTGAAGACATTCCAGTGTTTGATTTCTACTCATCAAAAGCAGATGGTAGGGCCCAACAACTTGAAGTCCTAAAACAATGGACAAATCAAAGATCCATTTTGTTTTTAGGATACAAACAGTTTTCCACAATCGTGTGTGACAACGATAGAGGCTCCCTTTCCCTTACTTGTCAAGAGATTTTACTAAAATGCCCCACGATTCTCATCTTAGATGAAGGCCACACTCCAAGAAACCAAGATACAGATGTGTTGACTTCACTTGAAAAAGTCGAAACCAAAAGAAAGGTTGTACTTTCAGGTACCCTTTATCAAAATCATGTGAGGGAAGTTTTCAATATTTTGAATCTTGTTCGCCCTAAGTTTTTAAAACTTGAAGATCCCAAGATGATAAAAAGAAGAATCTTGAGTAGGGTTCCGATTGAAAGCAGGAGAAATCTTTTAAAAAAGAGCACTGATAATGAGTTTTATGAATTGGTTGAACATACTTTACTTAAAGATGAAAATTTCAAGAGAAAAGTCACAGTTATTGAGGATTTACGCGAAATGACAAGTAAAGTCCTTCATTACTACAAAGGTGATTTCTTGGATTTACCCGGGCATATGGACTTTTCTGTCTTTTTAAACCTTAGCCCTAGGCAAAAGAGGGAAGTTTCAGAATTAAAAAAACTAGCAAGAAAATTCAAAATAAGTTCAGATGGAAGCGCGATATATGTCCACCCTGATTTAAAAAGTTTAGCCAAAAACATAAACAAAGAAAAACTCGATGACAATGTCCACAAAATCGATGAGCTTTTGGAGAATTTAAACGAAAGAGAAGGG